AATGAGAAATATCCCTCCCCATTTTCAAGTGTGTGAGTTTCGGCCATCACAAGGAAGAGAGAAGAAAATTATATTTTGTGTTCAAAGTTATTTTTCTAAAGTGTTAGAAATATACACAAAATATTATAAACAAATATTTATAAGATAAATATTTTACTATATATTTATTACTCCCAAAGTAGTATTATTATAGTTTTTACTATCCTATATTAAACTTGCTAGCACAAGTTTAATCTTGGACTCCAGAGCAAGTTCGTGTGGATAAGTTGGAGGCTTCATACGTTTGGCGCTACGTTCATCTCCTCAAAACCATCCCCGACCGTTCCTCCGTTTTCACCGTTAAGGTAAATTTCTTACTATAGCTAGTAATTTACGTAAGTTGTTCTTGGGTGGAATCGAGTTTTGGACTATAAATTTTTGTTTTCCGCTGCGTTATCCAAGCCTCGTTTCCCAACATCTTCTCCATTCATTCCAGCAAGTTCCAGCAAGGAGAGAAGACTCATCATCCATAGTTTTGTGCCAAGGTTTTCCAACAAGGAACAAAAAGAAAACCATCCAAGGTTTCCCAAAATCATGAGTCCAAACAATCAGTATCGTTATGGTAATATTCTGAAATTTTTCATCCATAATTTCAAAACACTTCCTTCAACAAATCTGTAGCCCCGTTTCTTAGGAAACGCATACGGTTCGCGATTTTGTTAAGAAAGAAAGGAGATATGACCAAAATACCGGGACTGTGTCTCTAACGCCCTGAAAATGGGCCTATCATAATTAATTAATTAATAACTAATTGATTACTCAGAAGGACCCAAAAATATGTGATTTATAAAGTTTCTCTATAAATAATGAAAATTATATTGTTATGTAGAGTTTGACAGTCTGACCACAACGGTTCAATTTGATTTCAATTAGGAGAAAGTTAGACCAAAAAGTGTACTCCGACTGGTACCCAAATAAGTCCCAATTAAGGACTTGCATTTAAAATCTGTAGGAATCGCCGCTCCATCCACTGAGACACCGAACGAACATGAATAGTAACATGGGGTCATCTCCCATTTTTTATTCTCACCTCCTCCACTATATAAACCCCTCAAACCTTCACCATTCTTCACCATTCTTCATCCAAATGAGAGCTCTAGGTGTGAGGAGTGTTGTGGTGCTCTGAATTTGGTTTGAAGTTGCTAGAGCTAAGAGTAGACGCTAGAAGTTTTGCCGGAAAATTCTCAAAACCTTCATTAAGCTTCGAGGTAACTCCGTAGATATATCCAGTGACTAAAATGTTTGTATAGATCGTTTCTACGTTCAAAAGTGCTCATATGGTTGAGTTTTAAGATTGACATGAGTGAAGAACAAAGAATCATAAACCTTGAAATTGTTGTTAAAATTACGAATTAATGATACCAAAATGATGTATGAACTTTCAAGAATATTTCTATATAATTTAATTGAAGTTTGATAATGTTAGAATAATAGACCAACGCTAGAGGGGGTGAATAGCGTTTGATCGTAGAAATCGCAGGAATTGAAAAATTTAAAAGAGATGTAAAGAGAAGAGTAAGAGGCACACCAAATTTACTCAGGTTCACCACAACTTGTGGCTAATCCAGCCTCCCGAGAGACTCTCTCGAGCTACACTACTATCTCGTTAAGCTTAACGGTGCTTAACAAACCCTCACAACTTGAGAGTTCGAGTCACACGAACCTCAACGAGTCCTTCAAAGGAAACAGCCCTTCCTTTGAATCAACCGAGAGAAATACTTTCTCTCAACGTGTCTAGCAACACAAATACACTCAAGAACGAGACTCTCTTATAGAGTAGATGATGAGTAAACTAAGTACGCTCAAGAACAACTCAACCTTCACACAAAATGGCTCTAAAAAGCTATGGAAAAGAATGTTGTTTGAATGCAATGAAAATATGAATATTGTGAAGTGAATTGATGAGAAAAGCAGACCCAAACACCCCTTTTTATAGTTCCAAAAAAGGCTCCAACGGACCAATGCATTAAAGGGGTGATTGGCTTAATTTATGGGATTGAATAAATTTGGGATCTGCGGGATATTGGCTTCCCAGTGATGTATGGACCTTACCCATCGCTGGTAGGCCAATTTTCCTTCAGTTTTGAAGCCAACGGTCACCTACCCATCGATGGGTACATGCTTCCCATCGCTGGGTGGGAGGTTGACTTCCAAACATGGAAAGAATCAAGGCTGGGTAAGGTTGTTTTGCCTTGTGTTGATGTTGGACCAAGGCTTTAACAGCGATGGGTAGAACCTCCCATCGCTGTTTGGCATGGTTCTGGAAGTTGGTTTGGCTAAGGGGCCGCTTACCCATCGATGGGATGTTCATCCCATCGCTGGGTGGGTGGTTAACCTATGGTTTTTGCCTTAACCACGGCCTAGCCAACCGATGCAAAAACCGACCGAAAAATCCAAAGTTCTCCAAAATAAAGACCAAGTGTTTAAAACAATTATTCGATGTATTTGGCTAAGAAATCAAGTGAGACACTTTAAAAACCACGTCATTTGAGTAAAAACCATGGTTAGCCAAGTTTATGTCGTTTTGCGTGGTTTTTGCCAAACGACCACAAACGAAAGGTGGTTTTCAAAGTGTTTTTATTGGAGAACTGTTTAAACATGCCAAGAAGTAAAAACCAGTCATAAAAAGTTGAAAATCACTTGGTTGGTTCGGACCCCAAAAACCAACACCGATAACCGAAAGCCGAACGCTGGTTTCTGAAAGCCGAACGCTGGATGGCTTGGTTTTTTGGTTTGGGCGATCACCAAGTGTTTTTGTTGACTTAAACATGTTTGGAAAACATTTTTATGATGTAAGAAATGCAATGAAAAGATTTTAGCCTAAAGAGCCAAGGTGTAAAGATTGGGTCGATCTTGATCACAAATGAGACCGACTCAACGACACTAAGACTACGGTCTTCATTCTTGGTCTTCGTATAGCTCTTGTTCTTATCTTTGTTCTTCTCCTTGTATATTCAGTGTCTAATCTTGATCACTGCGGTTTGGCATTATCAAAACCTGTTACAAAAACGAACACGGCTTTAGTACGAAAACGTGACAAGCCCGTGTTTCAATAATTTTACCCTTTTTGATAATGGCAAACAAGACGAGGTTATGCATAGGAGGATTTAAAAAAAGTGTTCCTCCTTAATAAATATAATTTGATTTTTAACAAAGTGTTTGAGAAAAACAATTCCACCTCAATTAATGCATAACCTTTATATCTTCCCGCTTTTGTCATTAACAAAAAGATTTAAAAGTAATTTTTATTCATTGAAAGGGAAATGCGGAATACAACGGAATGGGAATAATTAAAAAAATACAATCATATTAAAAGAAAGAAGATTCTAGGAGTCGGCGTCGGCGTCTTCGCCGTCATCCTCGTCGTCCTCGACGTCCATGGGATCGCCGTCGACTGCATTTTCAAAGTCGGCCTCGTCGGGGGAGGAGGACGGAGCGTAGGAGTCGTCGTCCTCATCCTCGCCTTTAAAGTGTTGGCCGAGAATGGTGCTGTCAAAAGGTGGCGGAACGTAGTTCACTCCACGGAAGTATGCCATCATGTCGTGGTGTTGGCGTTGCAACGTCCAGTCCATCCGCTCGATTGACTGCCCCATGCCATTCACTGTGAGGGTTAGCCGATTCAAAGTATCGGCTATAAATTGCAAAGAGGCCTTGGCGGGAGCGGGGGCTGGTGCACGACTTGGGCCTGCGCCGTCCCGGTCTCCAGACTTCTTCCGAAAGGTGTTGTCTTGAATGATCCAAATCTTCGTCATCTTCGTATCCGGGCCGGCGATGGAGATGTCGGCGGAGATGATGAGGTCCATGACGAGGAAGGCGTATGGCAAGCTCCGCTCAGTGGCGATGGAGGCGCAATCCGCCATGTGGATCATCACGAATTTCGCCCAATTGAAGGAGGCGCCGTGGATGATGGCGTGAATCGCTTTCAAGTCCTCGTTGAAGAGCGAGGTATGGCTGCTGTCCCGGGGGCGGAGAATATGGGTGATGATGTAGAGGAGGAGGCGCTTGTCCGGTGGGGCCGAGTGAATCATCGGCGCGCCGCTGTGGCGGATCAAGTTGGTGATCCCAAGCTCACGAATGACGACCGCCTCGTTGTTGAGGATCCAATCGTCGCCACCATATGTCGCGATGTCACCACCGCGGATGGGCAGCCCTGCGACCCGAGCAAAGGTAGGCAAATCAATCTCTATGTCGTAGAGATTGATGCTGCTGCGTATGGTGTCCCCGTCACGGCGAACATTGGAGTAGAAGGCCCGGACGAAGGCGGGATTGAAGCTCGAGCGGCTCTTGGAGACGAATGGCCACAAACTTGACGCTTGGAGTTGGTTGTCGAGGTCGTGGTACCCTTTATCTTGGGGAAACAACTCCGGGAGCACGCGAGGCGGAGAGATCGGGCGCTTGGCGAAGTGAGTGAGGAAGCGTGTGAGTTCTTCCTCCGACCCTTACTCAAGAAATGAGCCGTCTAGATAGGGAAACGGTTGGGGCGCAGAGGTCGTAGCTTCGATGTTGGTCTTCTTCTTGGAGGCCTTGCTCTTAGATTTTCCTCCGGCCATAGCAGCGTTTATGAAGAAGAAAGAATGAAATTTGATTAGGAGATTGAATTTGGGATGTAAATTTGTGATTAGGAATGATAAAACAAGGTGTGTATATATAGGGAAGGGGTGGAAACCGGATTGAGTTCAAAAAATATGACTGTTGGGCATTAAATTCGTTGCCCAACGGTCAAAAAATTTTGAATCGCAGTAGGCTTCCCAGCGATGGGTAGAAGTTCCCATCGATGGGAAGGTCGCCACTGGAAAGCGAAGGGGAAAACTGAACTGCCTTCCCAGCGATGTGTGGATTCTCAATGGGAAGGTGGATTCTGGAATGTGAAGGATAAAAGACGAAAGCCTTCCCAGCGATGTTAATACCATCCCATCGCTGGGTTGGTGATTTTGGGAATCCAATAAAAAAAATTTAAAAAAGAGTGTCAAACACCCAGCGATGGGAGTGGGTTCCCATCGATGGGTAGGGAGGTTCTGGAAAAAAATATTTTTGACAAAAGTCCTTCACCCATCGATGGGAAGAGGGGTTCTAGAAAAGGTGAAGACTCCCCTCCCAGCGATGATATAGCCTACCCATCGCTGGTTCCCCCTGATTTCTAGAAATCTGCACTTCGACCGTCCCTGCAAAAAAGAGTTAGAAAACCCTCTGACGCTCAAGTTAGTAAACGTTCAAGCAAAGAAAAAAATGATAAATACACAAATTAGATCATCGTGGAGTCAAGGATTCCGAGTTCACTACGAATGCGGAAGAACGACTCTTACTCTAAAGGTTTTGTGAAAATGTCGGCTAATTGGTTGTGTGTTTCAACAAACTCAATTTCGACATCACCTTTGAGAACATGATCTCAAATGAAATGGTGCCTAATGTCAATGTGTTTCGTCCTTGAATGAAGAACGGGGTTCTTCGTCAAGCTTATGGCGCTAGTATTATCAGAACGGAGTGGAACGTGACTGATACTAAGGCCATAATCCACGAATTGTTGCTTCATCCAAAGGATTTGAGCACAACAACTACCGGCGGCAACGTATTCCGCTTCGGTTGTGGATAACGCAACACTGACTTGTTTCTTACTAAACCATGAAACTAAAGAGCTACCAAGTAAGTGGCAAGTCCCACTCGTACTTTTACGGTCCAATTTGCAACCGGCAAAGTCCGAGTCGGTATAACCAACGAGATGACACGAAGAGCCTTTTGGATACCACAGTCCAACGTTAACCGTGCCAACAAGGTATTTCATGATCCGTTTCACCGCTGTTAGGTGCGATTCCTTTGGACATGATTGATACCTTGCGCAAAGGCATACACTAAACATGATATCCGGCCTACTAGCGGTAAGATAAAGAAGGGATCCGATCATACCTCGATACTTTTTGACTTCTACTTCCTTACCTTTCTCGTCTTTGTCTAGATGGTCAGACGTGCTCATCGGGGTCGCCATGGCTTTGGCGGTGTCCATTTCAAACCGTTTTATGAGCTCCTTGCAATATTTAGTTTGACAAATGAACGTGCCATCTTTCATTTGCTTGACTTGGAGTCCCAAAAAGAATGTGAGCTCACCCATCATCGACATTTCGAACTCCCTTGTCATTAACGTTGAGAATTCCTTGCACAAAGACTCGTTAGTAGCACCGAATATAATATCGTCTACATAAACTTGAACCAAAAGGATTTTATTGTTTTTACTCTTGATAAAAAGTGTAGTGTCAACCTTTCCCCTTTGGAAACCACTATCCAAAAGAAATTTATTCAAGCGTTCGTACCAAGCACGGGGTGCTTATTTAAGACCGTAGAGCGCTTTCTTGAGTTTGAAGACATGGTCCGGAAACTCAAAGTCTTCAAACCCCGGGGGCTGGTCAACATACAGTTCCTCTTGAATAAAACCATTGAGGAAGGCACTCTTAACATCCATTTGATAAAGCTTAAAATCAATAGACGAAGCAAAAGCAAGAAGTAAACGAATAGCTTCTAAACGTGCTACGGGTGCATAAGTTTCTTCGAAATCAATGCCTTCTTCTTGATTGTAGCCTTTAGCTACGAGCCAAGCTTTGTTTCTAGTGATTATTCCATTTTCATCAAGTTTGTTACGGAACACCCATTTCGTACCAATAATCATACGATCATCGGGCCTTGGCACCAATTCCCAAACGTCATTCCGTTTGAATTGGTTTAGCTCCTCTTGCATGGCCAAGGTCCAATGTTCATCGTTTATTGCTTCGGAAATGGTTGTAGGTTCAGTTTGAGAAACAAAAGCCATGTGTCCTACAGTGTCCCTAAGTGAGTTACGAGTACGTACCCCGCAGTTGATGCTACCGATTACCTGGTCAAGCGAATGATTCTTGTTCGTTCTCCATGCAATGGGAAGCTCGGTTGCTTCTTCTTCGTGTTCCTCTTGTTCTTCTTCTTCCTCTTGATTTTGTTCTTCACCTTGGTTAGTCGCTTGAGGTGTCTCTCCAATTTGCGGCTGCGTGTTGGTGTATATTCCTGTGTTCTCTTCATCGTCTTCGAAGTGTATTCTCTCTAATGAATCTGCAAGATCATCACAAATATCCTTTCTCGCCAAGCGAGGATTATCTTCGGAAAATACAACGTGAGGGGACTCCTCAATGGTCAAGGTTCGTTTATTAAAGACTCTATAGGCCTTGCTACGAAGTGAATAACCCAGAAAAATGCCTTCATCTGACTTGGCATCAAATTTGCCTAAGTTCTCTTTACCATTGTTATGAATAAAACATTTGCAGCCGAAGACTCGATGATGGGAAAGGTTTGGCTTTCTCCCTTTGTATAGTTCATAAGGCGTTTTTATGAGTATCGGTCAAATGACGGCTCGGTTTAACACGTAGCTCACGGTACTCACGGCATCCGCCCAAAAATACTTAAGGATTTTTGCCTCATTGATCATAGTTCTGGCCATCTCTTTGAGACATCTATTTTTACATTCCACCACTCCATTTTGTTGTGGTGTACGTGGGGCTGAGAAATTATGATCAATGCCGAGTTCGTCACATAAATCTGAGAATAGATTTCGTTCGAACTCTCCCCCATGATCGCTTCTTATGGCTACTATGGTTGTTTCTTTTTCATTTTAAACTTTCTTTAGAAAATTTTTGAAAGCGTGAAATGCCTCACTTTTGTGTGTTAGAAACAAGGTCCATGTAAACCTAGAGTAGTCATCGACAATCACAAACGCAAAGTAATTACCACCAAAACTTTTCGTTCTAGAAGGACCAAAGAGATCCATGTGCAAAAGTTGAAGCGGTCTAGACGTTGAAACAACGTTCTTAGACTTAAACGAAGCCCGAACATGCTTCCCCTTTTGACATGCATCACATACGGTGTCTTTTTCAAACTTAAGTTTTGGAATGCCGATTACTAAGTCTTGTGAAACCAATTTGTTCAAAAGGTTCATGTTCATATGAGCTACCCTTCGGTGCCATAACCAAGTGTCTTCCTCTTTACTCATGAGGCACTTAGCAAAGCCGGAAGGAGATTTGTCTAAGTTAACCATATATATGTTATCGATTCTATCACCACGTAGAATGACCTTATTGTCACTAAGGCGTTCTACCGTGCATGATTTTGAATCGAAGGTCACACGGTTTCCCTTGTCACATAATTGACTTATGCTCAAGAGATTGTGTTTAAGACCTTTAACAA